GGGGGGGGGGGGGGGGGGGGGGAGTTGAAATACTCTTAGTCGCTTCATGCTACTGAAACTGGGATAAGCTCCGACGTGATGAGCCACTTGGCTTGTATGCAGACTTAACCTTAGGCCAGTGCAATTTGAGAGAATTTTCAAATATCACGAGTAGTGTAAACCCGAGCTTTCATACGATACTCATTTATTTTATGACCGAGAAAGTTACGAAAGAGCGCGCGTTTAATTTGTTCTATATGCAGTGCAAATTAAGAATTAACAATAAATTGGCCTGCTTTCAGCCAATCACAACGAAGTAATTTTATCCGTCACATAATAAACCTTGAAATCACACAAAACTGAAACCACAATCGATCCATTCCTCTGGAGTGAAGGAAAAGACCCAAATGTAATAAAGAAACCCGTAAACTCTGACAGCAAAGTTACCAATAAATCTGCGAAAGGTGATGCTGTAACAAAGAACGAATCAACACCATATTTATCGCTCTCTGGTTGATCATTACGCGAGAAGTAAAAAAGGGTGTGAAAAGTGTAAACTGAGGTGGAAAAGTACTTTTTCTAGAATTGAAGGAATGTGAAGACTGCTTATAGCCGTTTAACTTTGGGAGTTTCTATTTAGAAACGAGATTGTAAGCTCGAGGGTTTCTTTTTATCTCTTTTGGCCGGAAAAGCCTGAAGTCAAGTATCAAACTAAGTTGTGAGAAGCCAACGAAAGAGCTGCAATCTAACTGTTTGAGCTTAACCCCAGTTTCTTAACCCCAGTTTCTATTAATTAAACATTGGATATCTGCAAAACTGATTTTTTTTCTAGAAAAACCTTCGGCCTCATCAGCTAACGACATCTCATGCAAATTTCGAGTTCACAGTCTAATAGGCCCTTTGCAGCTGGGGTTACGTAAAGGGTAAAGGGTAAAGGTAAACTTTATTTAGCCAGGGTGGCCCATTCAGCGATGACGCTGATATCCAGGGGGGCCCTGGACTAAAAATATAATAATTAAAAATACAAGACATCGTGATAATTTAAAAATACAAGATAAAATTTAAAAATACAAGATATAAATTTAAAAATACAAGTAATAATTAAGAGTATAGAGTATAAACAAGCATGCAAGCATGGAAGTACAAGCATACGTGACCAAGGTTTTCCTAGAAAATTTTTATATTATGGACTATAACTTAAAGAATGCCAGGAGTTGAAAGAGCGCATCGAAAATACCAAAATGGCCAAGTTTGAGGCCCCTGGAATTAAAGAGTAAGTTTATACGACAGTTTGAATTTTCGGAAAATTTAGAAGATTTGTATGAAAAATGTTGCTGGTGAGCAAAGTCTTGCTCTCCAACAACTTTGTCCATACAAATCTTCTTATTCTTTTAAAAATTCGGACCGTCATAAAATCTCCCTCTTTAATGATAGGGGCCTCAAACTTGGCCATTTTGATATTTTCAACAAGCTTTTTCCATTTCTGGCATTCGTTAAGTTATAGCCCATAATTTTATGAAAATAGGTCACGTGATGGCTCAGCTGCAAAGGGCCTATTGTAATTTGACTCATTAGCATGTGGATATAACAGGATTAGTATCACCCAACTAGTGGACTAATGCAAATCCTTCATTTTCATTGGCCACGCTACTAGAGTATTATTACTAATAGTCCTCGAGTAGCGAAATTGGCGCAATCGAGCGTGACGCTTTCTTCCGTTTTATTCCCAAATAAATATTTACATTTGCTAACTTTATTATTGCCTTTTCTGTCCGACTAGTTGGGTGATACTAAAACAATTAGACCCAACGCGTGGAGTTGTGGACCTGTTGCAGGTATTAAGCCGAAAACCGACGGCGCCTGGGGACGAGACTGATTATTGGCTAAGGAAATGAGACATGAGCTGAGAGATCTCACAAATGTTTTTCAACTGTTCGACCTATTGCAAGACGTGCAGAACAGAGGGTACCCTGCGAGCAGAGTTCCCTTCGATCTTCCTTGAAAAGTCGGAAGATCCAAGGACCTCTGCTTGCAGGGTAAACAGAGGGCGGAAGGTGGAGTCGAAAATTAAGACGGATTCCGCTCAAAGTTCGAGCAATACTGAGTGCAAAAATTATTTTCCACAAATCTACTCATAGCATGGTAACTTTTAAAACAACTCACTTCAGTTCATTTCTCTAAGTGACCCCGCAATTAAATTATCAGGCAGTCTTGAGAAAGTTAATGTCAAACCTCGTAAGAATACGTAAAGCGTGTGTTGTTGTGTTTTTAACTAACGCAAAACGTCTGTTTTAATTGAAATATGGATCAGTTCAAGTTCAATTTTTCCTCACGGGGTTAACTTTAGAGCTACAGTCTCGATAAGTTCTTCTTAACTGTATTCAGAATATTACCATGCCATGAGGTTTCTTTGGTAACTTAATTTTTGCCATTATTGCTCGAATGTTCTGCGGAAATTATTAAAAAAGATAAATATTATGAAAAAGATCAACTGATCACCAGTGGGGTCACCCTTCCTGTTTGTGAAGAGGTCCAAACTGCAGCCGCGCTGATCGTTCTTAACTGCACCGTTCTACACTCAACTTACTGAAATTAAAGTCTGAAAAAAAAAAAAAAATGAGGGAGGACTGAAGGAAAGAAGGCCATTCTTCCACTTTCGCTCTTGAGGTTTCCGCGCGAGTTTATCAAGTGGTACAATCCAGAATATCATCCGGATTCTATCAATGAAAGTTTAACTCCGTTCACGTGGGTGATTCTTAATTTGCATGGCGAACAACTGCCTCGTCGATCGTCCCCAGTCGCCCGCGCGATAGCAAAAAAATATAATGATTAGCTAGGATGAGGGGCGCAGGGAATCATGGGGAGGAGAGGAAACTCTTTTTCTCCTTCCCATCGCTCCCTGCGCTCGCGTTCTTCACTGGCTACCAGCTCCCGCTCGCGCCATTTTGCTCACTCTCAGTCTCCCAATCGCTCTTTGCGCTAAGAAAAAAATAAGAAAAGTCTGTGGAGGAGGTAGGCGTCCAAAACGCGTTTTACAGACTAAGCTAGACATAGACCAGCAGCGATGCCAGTGCGGTAGGAATTTTATCTGATCCGGGAAATCTCGAAGGTTTTGAACTTACGAAGAATGCGCATTTCAGGGAAATTCTAGCGCTCAATTCGAGCTGAACTTGCCGCTGGTTGCCTTGCGAGGCCCCGGGTGCGAGACCGACAAGATCTCACATGGAAATTGCAACAAAAATATTTCACCGAAAACCCGTGCCGAAGACTTGACCGGGATCAAAGTCCGAAGGCAAATCGTTCTATATTCGAGTCTCTTCCCAGTCCCCTACCTCAATTTTACTTTCCTGTTAGTGGCCTGTCGTATTTTGAAGCTTACGTGTAATTAAGTGGTTACGCAGGGGTTTTGGCGGCTCAATGTTCGAGCTTCCAGAGAACACGATGTACCAAATGTCGACAAACGCTCCATAAAACGAACGGTGATCGCTCTTAACAGCAACTTAATCGACGTTTTCGTGATTGCGCTACTGGCCAATATCATAAACTTGAGCGAGCGCATAAATGGTTCCAATTTTGGGAAATGACAAGCTTATTCTCAGTTTTTAAATTTTGCAATTTACGCAAGGAGAAATTGCGAATGTTTTTTCTCCAAATAAAGCTGTAGCAGGATTGTAAAGGTAAACAAAGATATACAACCTCCGTACTACATTTGGCAACGACAAAACAATTTCGCAAAGTTGTCAGCTGATCACGTGCCAATTTAACCCTGTGAAACCACTGGTGCAAAGTAAAACAATAGCAGTTCTCAGGTGATTTTCGATTGGAAGTGGTATTTGTTCGTGTTCTTGCTCATTCTGGTTCTGTATACTTGCGGAACACCAGTAGTTAACGAGTTTTGCTGCATTGAGAGATAAGCGATCAAAACAGTAAGTAACACTCAGTAAATTTGATTCTATTCGTATCGAGCTAATAATTTTTTGGTTTACGTAAGCTGACGATTTTGCTGTTATGTCTCGTCCAATTTTCATGTCGAAGTATTGCAAACAGAAGACTCTTATCTTCGCTGTTTTTCGCCTTCTACATATTTCGGATGAAAAGCCTCTTTACCTTCCTCCAATTCCGGTTTCTTTTGTAACCGAATGTTATTTTCTTGAAATTTTCTTGTGGTCAAAATATTAGACTTCTAACTTAAGCTTATTTTCTTAGATGTCGTCAGAGTGTCTCTCTCTTTCTTGAATTCAGCATAAAAGATGTAGCCTTAAAAACGCATTGTTGTTTTTTTCTTTTAATAGAATAGAATTAGCTTTCCAAAAGAATAAAAGGGAAGGCAATCTGTACAAACAATATACAGTACAGCTTTGTTTGCAACTGGACGGAGAGATTCGAGCACTTACCGGATAATTACAAATTATGGACAGCATTATATTTGCAGTATTATTTCCTTAATTTAGGGGAGGTACATTTACATTCAAGTTGATCCATGTAAATTCTGTGAAAATTGGATTTGATTTCGGAATGAATAATATTGCTTTCAATATTTTTTATTGCCTGTCAAGTAGGTTTCTCTGATCCTCAGTCAGACTCTCCTGAAAAAGTTAAAATTATCCTAGGAGTTGGAATAAGAAATATGAAATGAAAAACCATAACTAAGATGTGCAATATTCTACTCTAATTGTACTTGTCAATTTAATTGACCACAAGGCTGTACTGAGAGAAAATTGCCTGAGGTCTTCAAGGTTGAGCAAGCTTCGCTCATTCTGGATGAAAAACAGCAAGAGTTAACAGCCCTGACTGTGGGCCAATCACAACAAGCAATACAGTACATATATATCTTAACAAGCTCTAAATATATAGGGAGCTAGATGATAAACCCAAAATTATTTCATACTAAGATTAACTGCTCTAGAGATATTTTCAGTGCTTCTGATTGGTTTATACTATTGCGAGGAAATTGTAACCAAATATCAACCAATCATTGACTCTTCCCAGATTTCTGTAGTGTGCAACAGCAGTGATGACATAGGATGTTTTCTTCTTCAGAATGAGTGTATAATGGACGAATGAAGTTTCTTGGGAAAATTTTTTAAGGAAATTTAAATTACAGGTTGGAGTGTTCTACAAGACAAAAGTCTTTGGTGGGCCAGTGGGAATGACTTTTGGGCTAGTACATGTACTATTAATAGTGTAAATTGCCCAAAGGGTAAACCCAAAAAGGTGTTATCTTGGCATCCTGTTTGGCTGATAATCACCTTTCACTCATGTTTATATGCTGCTAGTACTGACTTGGTAAAATCCCATCTTTGCTTATCTTTACAAAGTTACACTGTGTAACATCTCAAGCCAATTTATCTGTTACTAAATGTATACATCTTAATGTATTAACCTTAGCACAAAACTTATCTGTTTTCAGTGGCAGCTCTTGTGGCATCGAATCAGACTCGTGACCAGATGACAGAGTTCTGGAACAAACACTCTATGGCACAGAGTGTTGAGGAGATGATGTTGGACAGTAAAGCTGAAACATTGACACAGGATGAGCATCCTGAAGTTATGGGAATGCTGCCTTGTATCAAAGGAAAAGATGTTTTGGAACTTGGAGCAGGCATTGGGTAAGGAGAACATAACATTTTGACGGTCATTTCAACCATAACTCTTGTAGATCAGATGATCGATCTGTGGCATTCCTGTAATAAAATGTTTGTTGTTTTGGTTTGATGAGATGAAATTTTCAAACTAGTTTGCTTTTTGTTTCTAACTAGTTTAGATTATTCATTTCATTTTTGTTCTGGTGGTATTTCCTTACAGTCATGCATGTTGAAAAAAAAAACACTGATTGCAGCAAAAAAATATTTATTTGCCATTCTGAGGGAAAAGTAACTTTTTATCCACCATATATAGGGAGGAAAAAAATTCATAGTTCATTATATACTGTCTTTAATCCAATTTTTACAAACCAAGTAACCCAGCCCTAATATACCATTTAATTTCAAAGGTTTGTCTCTCTCTTCTCGAATGGACCCTCACAATTGAAAAGAATTAAATGTCGTTGTTACTGTGTACTTAATTTTTGTTGTGTGGGACAGAGGTTGACTGTATGGTTGAATGTATTGGACTTTGAATTCATAGCACTGGGATTCAAACCCTGAGCATTGTATTTGTGTTAGTTCATGTGTTTGACACTCTTACAATGCTTCTCTTCACTACGACATATTGAATAATATATCTAGGTGGTAGCAAATCATTGTCAAGGGGTAACCTGACTTAATGAAAGATACACTGTAGACTGTATGGTGTATGACTTGTGATATACTCGCTGGATTCTCAGCCAAAGGAAGAATACAAACTGCTTACCTCTCGTGATACAAAAATTTAGCTTAGCTCTAGAGCTTTACTTACCTGGCATTGCCTGTCATTGTGTTTCATCTTGTATCATTATTTTAGAAAGTGTCAGATCCACTATGTGTGAGAGGAGCCTCTTGAAAACCACCTTTGGTGAGTGAGGCTACCCCTCTGTGCTCAGAATCAGTAGTACTTGACTGTTTGATGGCAGGTAAATATGTCCACAGTACTGGTATCGTCGCATTCATGATGATTTCTATAGTTACTTGAGTTTATAATGGTCTATAGCTGCATGTTTTTCTGGATTACATAGCTTATAACTGCATCTTTGCCCATGTGTTGGCACACTGTAGCTAATAACGTGATATGTATTACTAAAAGTAAGATATTAGGTGTAAAATTTAAGGATAAAAATTAGCAAGAAAATAAAATAAATGTAACATATTGGACAGACATGTTTCATTGCCTTACAATACAAAGACAGTTTGAATTTTTTATTTTGTCACATGGAAAATTTCATGACAACATCGAAAATATCAAGTTAAGCTGTTCTCAATTAAGTAAATTTATTAGCCATTTTAAGTTTTTCTACAATGCATGGATAATAAGTAACAAAATATAATATGATGTAGATACTACTATTTATTACAAAGAATATGTTATAATATTAATATTTAATTAAGCTATAATCACTACCTACAATTAATGACTTTACCTACAGAAAGAAAAAGAATTCAGACAAATTCTGTGTTATTAATTATGGTGAAAAAGCATGCTCATATTTGTGGGTCATATTTTCTCAAGTTCAAAGCCATAAAAGGAAAGCACATGTATTCTTCCTTGAGGAATACTAATGAAGCATTGATTGAACTGCTGGCATTACTGTTCATTATCACAGATAAATTATATAATAAGCCAAATTATTCTGACTTGTATTTTAACCAGTTCTCACTTATGACCTGTTGGAGGACAGATGCGTAGATGCCATCATTAACATTTTTTTTTTGGTTTCTTTATTATATGAAACAAGGATATTCCCTGTTGCATTTCGTTTGTTCAGTAATAGATCTTTCACAGACGATGTCAAAATTTGTTATTATAAGAACATCCGTGGCAGACTTGCCTAATGGTTGGTGTGCTATTACTAAGCAAATGCACTGCATCAGGGAAACTATTTCTTAATTTGATAATCATTCTTTGACTCTCGTACTTTTTTTTAACAGGCGCTTTACAGGAGATATAGCTAAGGACGCTCGTCATGTCACTGCTGTTGATTTCATGCAGTCCTTCACAGACAAGAACAAGGAAGTGAATGGAGCAAAGTTCAACAACATAGATTTTGTCTGTGCTGATGTCACTAAACTTGAGCAGCCTCATGGAAGGTAAATTTACTTAAATATGTCGCAAGTCAGACTAAGAGTAAAATTAATTTACCCGTGCCATGAGACTTATGGCAGTCAACTATTTGCAGACTAGTGAACATTAGGTAGGTCTAGGTAGGTAGGTTGTGGATTTCTGCTAGCCTCTTTGGCTAGTGAAAAACCGCTTATTAAGTCTTGCAGTGTTGAATGAAATTTAATTTGGCATAGTTGTCATTTATGACATCATTGTAAATGTAACAATTGATTGAATTCAACCCCCTCACTACTAGAATGCCTCCCAAAAATAGTGTATTCCTGTGAAAAATTGTGACTGAGATCACAGTGAGTTTTTTGGCGGCAAAAATTTTGATATCTCGGTGAGATCTCAGTAGCCAAAAACTTGCCACAAATTTCACCAAGAGGTATTGCCACTCTCAGCAAGGTAGGCAGTTTCAGCAAGATCTCTGTGAGATTCTTGCAAATGTCAGCAAGATAAATATGGTGGTGAGATCCTGCCATTCTTGTTTGTGTCCATATAAATCTTGGCAAGATGTAGGCAATCTTGGTAAGATGTTTGTGTCTTTCCAAATTTCAGCGAGATCTCAGTCAGAGATCTTACTGAGATTTAGAAAGACACATACATACATAAATACTTTATTTCCTCTTAAATTTTAAGTAGCTAAAATTAGCTAATATCTTTGATAATGTAAATATAACAAAATACAATACTTAAATACAATAAATATGCTGAAAATAATGATAGAGCTGAACTATGTACATAATATAACTAGAAACAAGTTGCAACCCTGTCATATTGTAATATCTCTCATTTAAAGTCCACAAAAGTAGAAGTTCTAAGCGCATGAAGATCTTGGCAAAACTTCAATGCGAGATCTCACCATTCTCAGCGAAATGTAGGATATCTTGCCATGCCCAGATCTTGGCAAAACTTTTGCACAGGTTGGCTTGTTAAAAACTATTGAATGTTTTCATCAGCAAAATTTGGCAGGCCTCTACGCAGATGATAGAGGGACCTTAATTTCATATTGTAATGGAGATCTGATTCATGATTGAGTTTCTTTTTACAAGATTTCAATGTTGCCATGCATGTTGCATCCATTTTAGCTATGATGTTATCTTCTCCAACTGGCTCCTCATGTACCTGTCAGATGAAGAACTCGAAAAGCTGGCCATGAACATGCTCCAGTGGTTGAGGGACGATGGATATCTGTTCTTCCGTGAGTCATGCTATCATTCTTCAGGAGATATGAAAAACTCTGAAAACCCAACTGTGTACAGAACACCTCAGATGTACACAGATCTCTTCTCTGCTGTCAAAAAACAACTTCCTAATGGTGATAATTCAGCATTTGAAGTGGTGACTAAACGTTCAGTGGAGGCATATGCTAAGGTGCATAGTTAACTAACAGCAATGTTGAGACCCAGAAAATAAATATCCATTCCCACCCCAAGGAAGATTATTGGAAATTTTAAGAGGGAGTCGGGGGTTTCAGAAGCCAAAATTTTCAAAGGAAAGTATGAAGCTAAACTTGTCTGGCATTTCCAGAGGAATGCTGGAGGGGTCAAAGCAGAAATCTTCTGTTGGAAGGTGTGGATCTTTGTTTGGGTCAACACAAAATAAACGTGTGAAGGTACTCCAATTCAGCTGAATGACATCAAATTATGCTTTTAATGTGATCATGATTAGAAAAATTGTACATTTTAATGGATGGATGGGATATATGGGTGACTGAAAGCTTAATGTATCAGATTTTTGTCCTGTGAGCATGGAGTCTATTAGGGAAAAGTCTGCATTGGGAAATGTAAGGAAATTTCTAAGTCAAACTGCTCTCTATAACAACCATTTTGCCACATCTATCCTGAGCGTGTTTGGTGTCTCAAAAGGTAGTTAGACAATGTAAAGAAAGGCGTCGTGTGTTTGAGTTGATTTGTATTTTGCATGACAGCACAAGCAAAACAAGCATCAGTTTTCTTGGTTGTGGAAGAAGGTATCTTTTAAGAATGGAAGCAAAGGGACCTTGCAAGAATTTCTTGATAACAACCAGTACAACAAGTCAGGCATCCTCATGTATGAAAGAGTATTTGGTCAAGGCTTTGTAAGTCCTGGAGGAATGACAACAACAAAGGTATCAATTTGTGGAAATCTTTCAAAGGTTTTCAATGACTTTTTTTCTTTTGCCTTCTTTTCTACCTGGTAATTCTTGTAAACTGAAATGAGCAAACTGATTAAATTGTTTTATTGTTTGATGCATTTAGGAATTTGTTGGGCAACTAAACCTACAGAGAGATCAGGAAGTGTTGGACGTTGGGTGTGGCATAGGCGGGAGTGCTTTCTACATGGCCAATGTAAGTACTGTCTCGGTATAGTCACACCAAGCCAAATTGAACAGTGTTTTCTTGCGTTGTCTTGTAATAAAGTAACTATATTACCGACACTGCAACTGTTGGTGACATTTGAATTTCCTTTTTCCTGTTTTAGACATACCATGCTCATGTTCTTGGCCTTGATCTGTCCACAAATATGATCAACTTTGCACTTCAAGCATATGAAAACTCGAAAAGCAGTCAGGTTTGTTGATTTTTATTTTGTCTGAATAATACTTGGCCATAAAGAAATTTGTGTGGTGAAAATTTGACACCCTTCATGCGCACAACCATCCATTCAAGAACAGTTGCTTTGCTGCCTTGCACCTTAAAATGACACACAGCCAGGCACGGTAAGCAAGGAACTGCACAATGAGTCGTGGGGTGCCCCTGATAAAAGTATGAGGCTCTCCCACTGAGGCATGTGACTGGCAATTCTGCTGAGAGGCATTGCCTCAAGATTTACTTTGCCTAAATTACATATAACCACATAATTTGTTGCAGTTCAATTTCCTGCAAGATCATTCTTAAGTCTTTTGTTTCTCAGGAAATTATGCAGTTCCTTTGGCCCATAGAGTTCTGTAATGCTTTGAGGTAGTTAAAATTATTTTGTAGTATTTATCATTTATTGTTCTCTCAAAATTATTTCTTTCCTCTCGTTGTCAACAGGTGCAATTTGAAGTGAGTGATGCCACCAAACGGGAATTCCCTGCTGAAAGGTTTGACGCAGTTTACAGCAGAGAAACAATTCTTCATATAGAGGACAAAAAAGCCCTTTTCCAGAAGATTCTGGTAAGTTTCACGGACAGACATTTGGCATTTGGTTCATTGTTTGTAAACTAGTCTTGAATATCAGTCTCCCATACTTTATCATACCTTTACAATTACCAACAACTTAAAAGTATTCATATTTTCAATGTCAGAGGTGGCTCAAGCCTGGAGGACAGTTACTGATAACAGACTACTGTTGTAGTCCTGGCAAACACTCGGAGCAGTTTAAAAAGTACCTGCAAGAACGCCAATATTTCTTGATTGATGTCAAAAGCTATGGACAGGTGAGCTGATAATCTTATATTCCTATGAGTACAACTGTGTAGCCAAGCTTGCATTTTGCAGCAAAGTGAGAGATAATTCCAAATGAATTTCATATTATTTTCAAAGCTGGGTAAACCTGCAATGACTCATACTCTTCCCTTGACATACTGCAATGATTCATCCCTCCTGATGGCCCTCCTAATAACCTTGTCTTTCTAATTAGCACTTCCCCTTGAGTACTGTTTTTAATGACCTACTCCAATAAGCACCCCCATAGCTAAAGAAAATTATGAAGTCTGCTTTCTCATATGAACCTCACTGAACATAATCTTAAAGTATCTCCTTTTTTCATTAAAGCATTGTAAAAACCGACAGATGTACAGGTATATATGTTCAAACCCTCCCTGTCTAAAGTAGCTTTTCACCCTAGTTGCTAGTTAAAACTGAATTATTACTGTAAAACTGGATGTTATGTTTCAGAAAAGTAATTTACGTTTTTGATTCAATGTACAGATTTTGCAAGAAGTTGGTTTTGAGGCAGTAACAGCTGAAGATAGAACGGCACAGTTTGGGCAGATCATAGAGAGTGAACTGAAGAACTTTGAGCAATCTAAAGACAAGTTTGTAAAGGTAAGCTGATCATTACTTTTGTTCTTTGGAATTAAGCAAGGACATGGCTTAATGTATGAACCCCATGTATGTGAACATGGATGTTATTTATGTATCCAATGTGAGTACCTTATGATAGTGGGCAGGGCAGTTACTTGAAAAGGTTGCAAATGGTGCAAGGGGAAAGGGAGGGAAGTGAACTTCTGAGACAATGGGAAGCAGGGGAAAAGACAAACTAAGCAGAAAGAGGAATATCTGCCCCCCACCCTTTTATCTTGCCTGCCCCACCCTTTCATCGAGTCCTTTGAATCTGTTTAATTTACAACTTATTTATGTTTTTTTTTTAAATTTACAATTCAGGATTTCTCCAGCGAGGACTACAGTTCAATAGTGAGTAGCTGGACAAACAAACTGTCCAGGTGTAGAGGTGGTGAACAGACTTGGGGAGTATTCTACGCCAGGAAACCAGTCAGCTCATAACAAGAGCCTCTTGTGCTGGTATTTCCAAGTAACAAGCTCCACTCCTGCATGATGGTGCATCGCATTGTTAATTTTGTACAATGTACTGCAGCTGTGATGTTCTTTTTTGTAATAACAACAGCATCAAGGCCGAGGAGTTCGCTAAACATATGCCAAGTCTCGTGTACTCTTAACAGATGCTCTATTGAAGAACAATTTGCATTACCCAGAAACATTGAATGAGGTTGATTATTTAGGAGAGCAATAAGGTGCAAACAAGTGACGAAAGTTGGTTTAAATTAAGCCAAGAAAATGAAACAATGATAAATTCCAATATCTCACATCCCATTTTACAGTAAACTGCATAAAGAGGGTTTTTCAAGGATAGACAGACTGAAAAAACTTCTGTAAACCTTGTTTTGATATTATTTATAGCGGATTAAGAGTCGACCTTTGCAGACAAATTTCAGAAAAATATTTTTATACTAAGTACAGATAAGAAGTGCATTTCACTGGTAGGTGGTCAAGTCCTAGAGTTTTTAATATAAAGCACTTTTCCATATCCTTTTAGTTGTTGTTGCTATTTCAATGTGAACACAAGCTTTAGAGTGATTGTATATCCAAGCAAAGAAAATTGTAAAATAAATATGTATTCGGTTTGAGTGCTTCAATGCTGGTTGACTTTCTCCTGACCTGAATACCGTAAACTGCTGCTTATAAGCCCTCCCACTTATAACATCCTCTGGTTGTAGGCCCATCTACCTGTAAACAAAGTAATACTTCAGATTTCCGAATATAAGCTCCTCCCCCCAGATACAAGCCCCCTCTAGTTTGAAATGAAATGAATTTGATTTATTTTAATGTTTTAAAGCTTAACAGTATAAGAAAATCGTGACTTCGATCAACACGGTAGCTCATTGCAAAACGTTTTTTTTATTCTGCTTATAAGCCC